CAGCTGCCTCCTGCACATCTCCTACTGGGATGTGCCTGCAACCCAGGTACATGCCCTTGACTGGAATCGAACCTGGGACCTTTCAGTCCGCAGGCCGATGCTCTATCCACTGAGTCAAACTGGTTTCAGCTTGACATATGCAGTTTTGAAGCTTATTGTCAATACAACAAAATAGCATACATATCAAATCACATATATATCAACATATGTGTAACTATATTGAAAAAATTACACATTATTAACTGGTACAGAGAAATCCTGCATTATTAACTGGTATACCTAGTAATCTTTGAAGTTTCTAATCTATCTAGAATTTAATTTTTTAAAATATATTTTTATTGATTTCAGAGAGGAAGGGAGAGGAGGAGATAGAAATATCAATGATGAGAGAAAATCATTGATTGGCTGCCTCCTGCACGCCCCCCACTGGGGATTGAGCCCACAACCCAGGGCATATGCCGCTCTTGACTGGAATCGAACCTGGGACCTTTCAGTCCGCAGGCTGAAGCTCTATCCACTGAGCAAATCGGCTAGGGATACATTGACGATGTTTCTTTTTGTTAAACCTCACTCGAGGATATTTTTCCATTGATTTTTAGGGAGAGTGGAAGAGAGAGAGAAAGGCAGAGAGAAACATCGATTGGTTACCTCCTGCACCAGCCCTGACCAGGGCCAGGGCTGGGAGGAGCCTGCAACCAAGGTACGAACCCAGGACCCTTTGGTCTGCAGGCCAATCAAACCAGCTAGGGCTCACCGATGTTTCTGTCTATCCTTCTCCCTATTTCTAAAATCAGTTTTTTAAAATAATATATTTTTATTGATTTCAGAGAGGAAGGAATAAGGAGAGAGAGATAGAAACATCAATGATGAGAGAGAATCATATTCAGCCCTAGCCAGTTTGGCTCAGTGAGTGTAGGCCCACAGACTGAAGAGTCATGGGTTCAAGTCAAGGGCACATACCTCGGTTGCAAGCTCAATCCCCAGCCCAGGTCAGGGCTAGAGCGTAGGCCTGCAGACTGAAGGGTCCCAGGTTCGATTCCAGTCAAGGGCACATGCCCGGGTTGGGGGCTTGATCCCCAATTGGGGGCATGCAGTAGGCAGCTGATCAGTGATTCTTTCTCATCATTGATGTTTCCCTCTCCCTTCCTCTCTGAAATCAATAAAAAAATTTTTTTAAAAAGTCTTTTGGCTAGTCTTGGCCCTTTCCTTATATGTTTTAGAACCAACTTATCCAGTTCCTTATTTGGAACTGTACTCAATCTATACATCGTTTGAAGGAGAACTGACATTTATGTTTATAATTATGAGTCTTCCTATATGTCAACATGGGTTATGTCTCCATTTGAGTTTTCTTTAATGTATTTCACTAGTTTTATAATTTTCTCCATATAGTTTTGCACATAGTGGCAGATACTGATGGTTGTGCTTCCTTCTATAGCAGTGTACTCAACCTTCCTAATACCGCGACCCTTTAATACAGTTCCTCATGTTTTAGTGACCCCCAATTTCAGTTACAAATTGAACATAATTAAAGCATAGTGATTAATCACAAAAACAATATGTAATTATATATGTGTTTTCCGATGGTCTTAGGCGACCCCTGTGAAAGGGTCTTTCAACCCCCAAAGGGGTTGCGACCCACAGGTTGAGAACCGCTGTTCTATAGCAACAGAATGCACAATTTTTAGCTGGGCACACAGACACTCAGAATGAAGACTGTATTTTGTAGCCTTCCTTGCAACTAGGAAACCATATAACTATTTTCTAGAAAACAGGATATTAGCAGAAATGATATGCAACTTACGATAAGTGTCATTAAAGGAAGTTAGGTTCCCTTTTCTCCTTTCTGCTGGTTGCAACACAGATAACATGGGTGAAGCTAACCATCTTGGACCATAAGGTAGAAAAGGATCTCTGAGGATAGCAGAACCACCAACATAACGGAAGGAATAGGAGTTCCTGATCATTATGGAACTACCATGCTAATTCTGGGTCTGTCAGAAAGGAAGAAGAATGAATACTGAATAAGGCAGTTAGCAGTGTCTGTCATATCTAGAGGCTACTGAACTCTAGCTGTATGCTAGTTATTTATGGAGGTTAGGGCCTGAAATTATGATCTTGTAGGCAAAGATGATAATGATGGTATTGCGAGGGTAAGGCAAGAAGATACTGATGCTGGAGGCACAGTATGAAAGAATATAGCATGGAGTAAGAAGTGTAGAAAATGGCCAACTGTGCACAAAGAAGTTCAATGAATGATTTTGACACAAAAACATGAAATCAACCTTTTCAGTGTGTCATCAAGAATAATCTTGAAAAAGGCCTAGCTGGGTTGGCTCAGTGGGTTAAAGATTCTCTCTCATCATTGATGTTTCTATCTCTCCCTCCCTCTCTGAAATCAATAAAAATGTATTTTTTTTAAAAAAAGAATAATCTTAAAAGAAAAAGCAAGAATACTATTTAGAGATTATTTGTAGTCACAGGGGGAGTGGTTTAGAAAAAATTATGCACATTTTAGAAACAAGGCAAACAGATGACATGATCTTTTAATGCCAGGCTAGAGCATTTTCAAGCAGTCAGCCTGGGGTCACCAGGTCATCTTGGGGAATCTAATTTTGTTTGATTAGCGCCCAGAAGTCTTACAACCCTCAGGAGTGAGAAGGCAGTCCTGGCCAGGGTGGCTCGGCTGGGCGTCAACCTGTGCACCAAGCGATTACCATTTGGATTCCTGGTCCAGGGCACTTGCCGGGGGGCTGCGGGCTCTCTCCTC